TGCATGAGAAGGCTGCCCCTGAGTGCTGAAATCCTGTGCCGAGCCTGTCCCTGGGGAGGGGGCCGCATGTGTGTGTACACCTGCCCGAGGGCTCCTCTCACACACACACATGCTTCCTGCAGCTCGGGCTGAGCCGCTTTCTAGAATTCAAAGCAAACATTTACATTCTGAGGCTCCTCTCTATTTATGCTGGGCTTCCAGCTCCACTGTCAATATTTGGGAAGCTACTCTTGGTCAGTTCCTGTTGACTTTTACTGAAAAGTGGCTAGTGAAGCAGTAAATATTTTTGTGCGTGTGATAATGCAGCTGGTCAGGGCAGACCGATCTCCTGAGGAGCAGATGCTGTGTTCCGGGACAGGGCCTGGTGTTCTGTTGCTTATGCAATGAGTAGCCACATCCTCTGGTTTCAACAGCAGGTCCTAAAAGACTACCCTTTCCATGGCAATTGGGAGAACAATGCTTGTTCCACTATCGGGCTCTCATCAAGGCAGACTTTTGCCAGGGAAGAGCTGTTGGAGGTGTGCTAGGCAAACTACAGCTAGGAAGTCAGAGTTGCAGAACGGCAAAGCTGGACATAGAGCCCTGTTAACAGTCTCTGCTTAGCTGCTGCTCTGGGAGAAGTGCTCCCAGCACTGATAAACTGGTGTGAACTCTGCCTGTGCTTATTGGGTTTGAACGCTGTCAGCCTGTTAAGTAACGGCCTTTGTGGGAGACAGCTGTGCCAGCCACAGTTGCTTTGACAAACCCCTCTCCAGTGGTGAAAGGAGATGGTCTCCCAGAAACTTTAGGCTCAACAAGATTGTAACCATCAGCCCTTGGTGTACTTCTGGGAACCAGACTATCCTAAGTGGAGCTAAGAATGAATACTTAAGCCTGAAACACTGTGAATGATGCGCTGTGGTCCTTGTGTCTTGCATCTGGGCTGCTAACCCAGAGGAGTGCTCTGGGACCACTGATGGATGTTGCTTTCTGCCCTGCCGTGCAGCGAGAACCCTTTGCCGACTGTGGAAATTGCTATTCGCAACACGGGGGATGCTGACCAGTGGTGCCCTCTTCTGGAAACCCTCACAGATGCCGAGATGGAGAAGAAAATCAGAGACCAGGACAGAAATACAAGGTGCTGCCATTTGTTCAGACAGTTCTTCTTCTGGCCTGTCTCTAAGACAGAAGTTAAAAGTTTTGATGTTTGTCTTTCTCTGCTGAGAGCCAACTGGCAGGATTTCAAACTTACAGGCCACAACAGAAACTCATATACCTTTAGCTTCAGGACATCAAACTGTTATCACCTTGCTCCACAAACATTTAAATCTCTACTTTAACCATCTCCTGCTTGAAGCAAAGTATTCTTTTTTATTTCTTTTTTCTTTTCCCTGGGCTCTCTGCTTGTGCAGGGGGATTTGGTTCTATATGAAGGCTTCATCAAAAATATTGGAGTTTCACGCGCTGCCATGCTACCTAGAATCCTGCCACAAGGCTTCCTTTTATGTAGGGTAAAGTACTATTTGGTGTAGGAATGGGCAAGCTCCCAGCTCCAGACTGACTGATGCTGACCTGTTTGCCAGCATGGGAGCACCGTTGTGATTCCAGGAGGAGCTCTGCCCACCACAGAGACCCACTGAGCAGCATTTGACAAGCAGTTGAGAGCACTTGATCCTACTTGGTGAAGTTGCTCCTGGCAGATATAAATGAACTGCTAGAATCTCTCCAAAAGATACATTGTGGGAACAGTAAATATGCTGGCTCAGCTCTTTCCCAGGATTTTTTTTTTTAATGCTGATTAACAGTTTCACAATTATTTTGCTTCTTGGTTATGGCTGGCTGAATAGTTTTCAGTAGTGATCAGTTCAATCCAAGTTAATGAGCAGAAGTGCCCTAAAAGCTGTAACTGAAAATAGTGTCTTAGCCTTATCAACAGGGGCCTTTTCAGGTGACCAAGGAAGTCTGTGTAGGCAATAAACCTGTCTACAGAGTTCACAAAGCTGTGGCAGCCTCCCCAGAAGTGTTGGTTTTTGGTAAGACTTCACATGACTGTAGTATAGCACTTAACTGCACCTCTTTCTCTCTCTCCTAGGCGCATGAGACGTTTGGCCAATACTGCTCCAGCCTGGTAATCTTGTTGTGACACTGGTGCTCTTCCTACGGACTCTATCCCTACTCGTCTCCCCAGATGGATCTAGGATTGGCAGGGGTCTCTGTGTCCCTGAAGGGGACACACATTCCACTTGCCAAGAGTACCCAGTACTGCTGACTTCTGCCCCCACCCCGTCCACCTAAATGCCACGTACCAAGAACGCTGCATTAGCTCATGGACTAGCTGAGACCTGTGGCAGCTGTTGGAGCCCTGATATACCTGTGTGTGGACAGTATAAAGATTCTTTTGTATAGGTGCAACATGCACTATTAGGAAAACTTTTTAAATAAAAGGAATGCGTACTACTTAAGTTGAGTTCAGTAAGTTTGAATGAGTAGTGAATCTCAGCATTTCTGTGCTGTTCTGGTAACTGGGCAGTCCTGGGGCCTAATCTTAATGCTCTTGGGTATAAAGCTGAACGCTCACATGCATTCAGTTTTCCTGAAGCATGGTGGAAAACTGAGTGCTTTACTTCAACAGATAAAGCAGCCCCAAACCGTTTGCTGCAGGGGAAAGTGAGAATGAGACTTGAAGCAGCAAACAACTCTCTAAAGGACTGGTCTGTTACCACCCTTGGTGCAGTCTGTGGTGAACTCAGGTGTTCAGCTGGCTTACTTGACAAGTATGCAACAGTTTAACTGAAGTCACAAACTTAACACTCATTTCTGTCAGGTGTCAACCTAGTGTGTGGTGAACCCTTTTGCCTGTGAAGACTGCATCTGGAAAATGAAGTCTCTGAACTGGTGCAAAAGTTGAAGCCTGCAATCACTGAGACTACAGCTTCTCTTCAGTGAGTGGCTTTGCTGTGGTCATTGTCAGCCCCTATAGCTGCCAGTTACACAGCACCCGAAGTGAAGCGAGGGTCTTAAATAGCCCTAGCACTGCAGTGTTAGGATTTTGCAACCTGAAAAACAACCTGTCTTTCCCTGGGGAGTTTAAAAACAGAACATCCATCAAACTGAGGTGAAAAAAAAAAAACCAAGCTTGCTTAAAAATGAATTAGAATCTACCTTGCTGTTGAGGTACACTAGCTCTTTGATAGAGTTCCTGCCATTCACTGCCAGAATTGACAAGTTTTGCAAGCAAGGCAGATTTTGCTGGCAGCTGGACAGTTATGTTGAGGCCTTTATGGTAAAGCCAATAGCTTTTATGATCCTTGCTGATCCACCCACACTGCTAGCACAGTCGAAAAACACTTTCCGGCCTTAATTTATCATGTTTAGACTTGAGTAATAACAGATCCAGTTCTCATTCCTGGGTGGGAGGGAACTTTTTCCAGATGTTAGCCTGCAGAAACCAAAAACTTGCAATTTAGCAACAATATTGCAGTCTTATCCTAGGCTCCTGCTTCAGAGTGGTACTCTATCCATTATTCCTCATTAGAGAGGTTGAAAGGTTATTTTAGCGAAAGACAAAATGTGGGGCTCCTGCTGCATCTTAGCCTCCAATGTAGAACACATATTTTGCCTCATGGACATAAAACTCCAACTCTTCCTGAGAACACTTCAGCCTCTTTGTTATGATTATGTACTTCTGCAAGCAGCCTCTTCAAGGAATTTCACCAAAACAAGCATGAAACTGCTGTTACACTAGCATCTGTGGTGCAATTTTTGAATTGCTGTGAAGCTTGTTGTTACCTAATCCTAAAGTTCACAACAAGGTATGGACACACAAGGACTACAGCTTCTGTAGCAGGTTTACAAGTACCTCCCTTTGCTTCTCAAGTCCCAGAGAGGCTGTAAGAATTGTCCCTCCAAGCAGCCAGGTGCAAGGTGGGCCAGTCCAGGGTGCTAAGTCCTAGAAAGATGAGAACTGCAGCCAGCTTTCTTCATGCATTAGGACTACTAGGGAGCAGCTTTTTTGCTCTATAATCACAGTTCCTTAGGTTAAACTAGTACACTAGCTAAAAGTGTAGCCCAGCTTTTGCATTTCAAAGTCCCATCTTGGCAGCAATTTAAAACTGAATGTCGGCAGACTTTAAAGGCAAACTCCAGGCAGTGAAACACCGGCTCTGTGTTAGTAGGTCATGAGCAAAAGCACACAGCAAGTACCTGTTGAGTCTGAGGCTGTTTAGCCCTTCGTATTGCTCTGTCTTCTAGAACAATATTGCCATCTGTATGGGTCTTTCATTCTCTTCCTAGAGGAAAACAAGTGCAGCAAAATAGCTTGTTCAAATGAAGTGTGATTTTTGATAAAAAAAGGTGTTTTCATGGGAAGACAACAGAAAGGGGGGGGGTGTGCATGGTTCAGTCTTCCTTCACCACAACACTTCTATATCATTCTTCATAACTGGATGCTGGTTTACTCAAATTTCTCTCAGTAGTTTTAGTGGTGGTTTGCAAGCTTGTCTAGCAGAGCAGACAGCAACATTACCAAATGAGCTGTCCCAAGATACATCGTTTGCAGATTTACTCCAAAGGCTTTGAGGTCTGGTACAAGCACACATGTACTGCATTAGCAAGAATGATCAAATCCATTTAGTACAGCTGTTCATGGCAGGGAACAGGTGGTTTAGTTTTCCCCTAAAATTCAGATGTTTACATTTCAGAACTAAAAAATTCAACAAGAGTGGAATTACATTGCATGTGCAGACAGCCTTTATTACTAGTGTCAAGTGCTACTGCCAGTCACTGCCTGGATCAAGTGCCCAGCTCTGTCCCCTGTCCTTTCCCAGGCATTGCTTTCTCCAGCTAGACACACCCGCCCCCGCCCCATGCTCTGCAGTCCTGCTGACAGTAGAGAGGAAGGGTATATTCCAGCTAGACTGAACTTCTCCTTGCCCACCAACAAAGAAAAGCCCAAGCAAGCTAAGTCCAGATGAGTACTGGTGAATTGGCGCCTCTGCCCTTGGCAGAAATGGACACACAACTGAAAAATAAAGACTTTAATGTAAAGACTCTTTGGAAACAACAACCAAAAATGGAGTGGGGGACTTAGATGAAAGGAAGAAGCTGAGCTGCATTCTACCATGGTAGATTAGGGAGTACTATTTCATTGAAAGCTCACAAAGAGGTCTCAGAACAGTGAGAGCTGAGAGCATTGGTCTTTGTACAGAGGGCAAAAGTGACCTGGCACACAGCAAGTCACTAACAGCAAGAGAAGGAGGAACTGGTTTAACGCTCCATTTGATTCTTGTTCCCCACTGGGTAACTGAGGAGCCATCACAGCTTCAAGCCCCTGTCCCTAAAACACTTCTGTAAGCATTCAGTAGTTCTTGCGTGCAAAGCTCTGCGGAACCACTTGGTATAAGGAGAAGATGGGTTACCCATACAAACAGTGAAACATTACACATCGGAATGGCAACTGGTGTTACTCCAGTAGGATCTCTGGGCCATAGCGTAAGTCCAGGTGGAAGAGAGGAATCTGGCCACATGAAGTCCTCTGTGTTACTGTGGATGCTGCTGGTGATTATGGTCTTGGTCTCTAGGCTGGTTTTCTGGATGATCCTCAGGGAGACGGTTATAGTTGGGATCCTCTTCAGGTGTGTCAAATACTAGCTTCCTGGCAAGGGACATGACCATCCCCACCAAGCAGGCAGGTTAGGAAAGTGAGCTGAGGACAAATAAAAACCCTAGCCCTCCTAGGAACACCCTGCCCTTCACAGGGCTTGGCTACATGCCACAGCCAGCTGCCTACTGCACCAGCACTAACTTCTTTCCCTCAGCTCAACATATAACAATGACAGTACCTGCTTGCTTCATCTCTAGGTCAGCTTTGATCCTCAGCCTGAAGCCGAACATACTCTGTTTTCTTAAACTACAGAAGTACATCAGAAAAAGTCCTGCCTGCAGCTAGCATTTCCACAAGCAGTAAGAATGCTCCAGTTTAGCAAAGTTTAAGGTACCAGCAGTTGCTTAACAGACCCTGTGTACAGGGTACATATATATGTACATAATGTGCAAAGTGCCAGTGCTTTCTGCAGCAGAGGCATAAACGGTTCAGCTGAGGTGGTATCAGCATGCAATTGTGTCCTATGGTCACCCCATGCTTTCACAGACCACAGTTTTCTATGAAAGTGACCCAGCCTGGGAATCAACACAGCAAAGCCCAGAAAGAATCAGCTTTACTTACAGGATACCAGGTGTTAACAGCAATTTCTTTCCTCCAGGCTGGTTGGGGAAGACATCTTCCAAGAAATAATAGATGTGACCCACGGCAATCCCTGGGGAGAGATGTCAGCAAGGTCAGGCCCAGCTGTGACTCGTTTGCCAGCTGAACCAGAGCTTAAGCAGGGTGAAGCTCCAAGAATCCCTCAGCTGTGTACCCATGCCCCAGCTCCCACCAGAGCCACCCATGCTGCAGTGCTAGAGGGCCAGGCTGTTAGCTGTGATCAGCACAGAACCATGCAGGGAGCCTGTCAGCCTGAAGGCAGCACCAGGCACCCAGGAGACCAGACACAAAACAAGTGTCAGGCAGAGCTCACCACACCCAACTTCTTCCCCTGGGGAAGAACAGCAAATTGCAGGTCACAAGCAAGAGCTCAGGCATGAGGCTGACCACCCAGCAACCTCAGCCAGCTTCACTTTGGGAAACCCACCATCTGAAATAAGATGAAACCAAGAGACGGTGCTAGCGCCCCAGCAGCATCTACAAGAACAGAGCACGCTGTGGCTGCCAAGTTCCCTTGTTCCCAGCACCTGCCAGCTTTGACTTACCCAGTAAGTCGATGATGATGGAGTTGCCTAGAAGCAGAGAGAATCCCATCAGGACCCAGGGCAAAAAGGGGGCCTGGAAGTTAAGAAGCCCAAAGAAGTTCATGCGGATATATGGGTTCCTGCGACTCCACACATACACCAGCATGATGGTGAAAGCCTGGCCCAGGAAAAACAGGCTGGCAAAGAGTCCAAATAGCTAGGAATTACTGAGTCAAGGGAAAACCCACCAACCCTGTGCACCACCTCCAGGCAGCACAGGGTGCCTTGTGACTAGGAAACTCTGAGCTGATCACAGTGTACAAGACATTGCCCATGCCACCAAACCTTTCCTGGGCTAGATGAGATGTACTGACACCACCCCCCCCTCGGCCACCCCCCCCCCCCCCCCCCCCCACATTTGCCTCCCTGCCACCCCAGAACGAGGCACTCTGGAGTGGCACAGACTGGTCACTCCTTAAGCCGTTGTCTATAACCACCAGAGACCAGGGAGCTCATATGGTCACCTCTGCAAAGTGACCATCAAAAGTGACCTTCAGAGAAAGGCCTTCACATTCTTACAGCACTTGGGACATGTGGCAAATACTAACAACTAGCTCACATCCAGTATCTGTCTTCTACAGAAGAATTTCAGCAGTAAGATGGCTCTTGCTATTCACAGCCCTCTTCTCCAGGATACAAGGAGACAGCCAGAGGCAAAAAATTTCCCTGCCCTTCTAGCTGGAGTCAAAATCCACCCACTGCCAAGTATGTGACTGCTGTAGGCAGCTGGACACTCACTGGCCAAACACCTGAGGACAGCCAACAGACATGAAAGCTCACACAGCTTCACGCAGAGCTCTGTGGGGAAAGCAGTGCTCTGAGCCACCTGCATAAGATGGCAGCAAGACAGAAAAAGTTTTATGCTTGTGAGGGAGATTTCTCCCCATCTGACTATTTTGTCCTACAACAAAAGAACTTCTTAAGATGTGTGACAGTATCTCCAGCCACTGACAGGCTGCAAGCACAGAGTGCTGGGCTCATGCTGCCCGACATACTGATGGCAGACAGTATGTGGGCACCCTACTCCTTGTCCCTATGTTTCCATGTTCTTCCCTTCAGCTGCAGCTCAGTTTTCTGAGCCAGCCTCATGCCAGTCGTAGCAGCGCTGCAGCGTGCTCCACCCACCAAAGCCCAGACACCATGTCCATGCCGCAGCTGGACGGTTTCTCACAGAGCATAACAAGGGGCTTCCTTTCAGGCTGAGCTTCCTGAGCACGCTGCCACATGTCCTCTTTTGGGATCAGGCAGCCCATCCCTTGCCAGGTGCATCAGTGCTTCTGCAGACACCAACAGAAGTATAGACAACTTTTCCTGCATTTTGCTTCTGCTCTAAGCATACTAGGTGAGGCACAGGCCAGGAGACAGCGGTGGGCAAGAAAGGAGCACCAGCTGTGCCATACAGCCAGAAGTTGCCACTCCACCACATGCTCAGCAGAGCTCTCCAAAGCCTCAGGGCATGAGCCTGGCAGGCCCTGGAGCACAACAAGGCTCTGCCCCATGGCACCAAGAAGACTCTCAAGGCAGCTGTCCTGGTCAGTGGGCAGGTACCTGCTACAGACTACACAACACAGCTGGGACAGAGAGCTAGCAGACAAGCCCACACTACCCATAACATCTCAGAAGATGCTAAAGAGCCCCAGCCAACTCCAAAGGATACTGTCATGAGAAACCCTCCAAAGAGGAACATGAAGACAAAGTCAGCTGTCCTTCCACGGAAGGAGCCTTCTTCTAACATGCGGCAGTACCTGTACCTGAGAGCAGGAGAGAAGGGAGGGGTTGCAGTATAGGAAATTAACAGCTGGCCACCCTATGTCCCCACAGCACGACTTTACAGCGAATAAGCCAGCTGCAAGCTATTTCATCACAGGAAGCTGTCAGCCAGGTCTCCAAGCCCTCAAGCAGAACAGTGCAAACTTCATCTCATATCACTGACCCCAGGAAAAGAAAGCGGCATCTGCTGCGCTCCAGCCAGAGCTCACCCCAGGAACGGGCACTGCTCTCCAGTGTGAGCTGCAGCAGCACTGCCAGCTTCTTCAGCCTTTTGGCAGGGGCTGCCCTGCAGCAGAGATGGAGGTGCAGAAGGTGGCCACAGTTGTCAGGGGAGTGGCTTCAATTCACAACAAAACAGCAAAGGGAAGAATCCACAGCCCTAGACTGCTGCCAAGACAAGTCAGCCTGGGGAGGAAAATGGACAGGGGGAAATTGCATCTCAAAGCCAAAAAGGGAGGAGAGAGCTTCACTGAGACCAAAGGATACAGAAATATCATGTTGAAAAAGAAACTGAATCCCAGGGGCCCAAAAAAGAGGAAGTTGGTGATCAGCCTCCATATCTGAAAGAGAAGAGAGAGAAGAGAGAGCAAAGGAGGCGGACGGACAGGTCTCTCCCCATCACATGTACAGCAACCCATCACCCTATCCACTGGGGATGCCCAGTCGTGCACCCATCCCCTCAGAACTACCCCAGGACACCAGAGAGCTGCACCGACTTCACGTGGGACCTCCCTCCATTGCCCACATCAGAGTATCTTGCCATTCCAGGTGTGGGAAAGATTTCTCTACTTTCCTGGAAGGGACAAACAGCCACAATTCAGCACCCAGAGCCAAAGCAAATCACCATTCATGCCTCTCCACAATAAAGCCTTGCCCACCCACATTGGCCCAAACATCTCAGTGTCACAGAAGAGGCAGGTTTTGAGCAAAGGAAAAAAGGAAATGTCAAGATGGTGTGTGGCAGGGGAAGGCTGGAAGAAGTTATCTCCGCCCTGCCATCTAAGAGGGGACACCACGCTGATGACCCAGCTCCCGCCAAACAGAGGAGGTTGGAGTAGTGGGAAGGAAGCCCCTTGGGGTCACACGGCACTCCCTGACTGCCCCGGGGCATGGGACATCCAGGGCCCAGCTTGTCACACCCACCCCTGGCTAGGGACAGGCAAGAGGAGCCCCAAAGCCCAGGCAAGGCCTCACCTGGAACTTCCTGAAGATGAGGTCGGGGTTGAAGTACAGCTGGAAGGGGGTGATGAACTCCAGCTGCTGTGAGAGACAGGCAGAGCAGCTGCCACCCGCTGACGGCCACCCACTGCCCTCAGCCAGTCCCCGG